GGCAAAACATAATGAAAAAGAGGATCTCTGAGTCACAAGATGAGTCAAGAGGGTGAGGTTTGTTTTTTTTTCCCTTTGTCCATCTGTTTTAAGGGAGTAGGAAAAATCTTTGATCAAAGTTGGTACCAAAAGTTGGAATTTATTCTTTAGTATTTAACTTGTACCAAGTGCAGATCTGAAACATTTAATGGTACTACCAAGATGGGTTTAATCTACTTAAGAGATCTGTGCCTAATTTTTAGGAGATTGGTGTATGCTGATATTTCAAGAATGGAGACTCTGTTTCATACTTTAACTTACATTTAATCCTGCAGCACATCCGGTCTACAATGCTGGCAAGTGTAAGTGCTGAATAACTGCTTCTCTGGTGACAGTAATGACCAAATAAATCACTTTGTTCCGTACCTTAAATTATTATTTTCACCGTCTATTGTTGAAAGCTAGCTTTCTTAGATTTTGGCTTTAAGTGATATTTATGGCATTGCCTTCATGTTAACCATTTAAAAATACTGGAATTATTTAGTATAGATTCCTCCAGTTGTTCAGCTAGCCTCAAAGTACTGAGTAATCCAGTCTGTGTTTTACTAACCAGTGTTATCCAGGCAGGAAGGAAGGGACAGAAAGAAGGAAATAAATGGGTGATTGGAGAATAGATATATATGCCTTCTTTCAAATTACACTGGCTTCGTAATCTCAAGGTGAGTTTTGGTTGCATGGGGTATATGAGAATGGTGGTGAATAGAAGATTAGAATAGAGGTCATTCTCTCCATATTTTACTTTTGGGGCTTTTTAAAAAGCCATTGTCACTGCTGGCACATTACTTTGCCTTTGAGGAAAGTTGTAACTACTCATCCAGAATAGCTATTAACTATTTTGTAATATTTTATAAGCTATTTAAAGCAAAAGACAGTAAATGGATTTTAAATGTTGCTTTAAGGGCTTGTGCCAGAGAATGAGTTAATGATACTCATAACTACAGGATATACAGTTAATTCCCCCCATATTTTAAAGATTTTTTTTAATGTTCATTTTTGAGAGAGTGAGCAAGTGGGGGGGGGCGGACAGAGAGAACCCCAAGCAGCCTCCATGTTGTCAGTGCAGAGCCTAGAGCGGGGCTTGAACTCACAAACCATGAGATTGTGACCTGAGCTGAGATTGAGAGTCAGACGCTTAACTGACTGAGCCACCCAGGTGCCCTAGTCTCCCCCTTTCTAAATCAGAAATTGATAGGGGTCTCATAAACGGAGAGTTCAGGGAAGGACATTCCAGCAGAGGGTGTATAAGGAAATGGAAGCATGAACTTTATGCTATAGAAGAATTGTGCAAAGATCATTGTAGCTAAACATGGGGAAGAGAAGGATGGAAATTTAAATTGAGGCTAATATTGTCATGGGCTTTAGACTTTGTGTCCTGAATGTATTAGAAAGCCACTACAGATTTTTAAGCATGAGAGCAAGCTTTCTAAAAGCATGAATGTGACTTTTAGAAAGATTGCTGTTGGCAGTGTAAAGAAGTATATTTTTGATTCATCTTTACTCTTGATATTCCTTGTTCATTGGTCAAGACTGGAATGTTGTCTTCTGGATTAGTAGGGTTACCCAGGTAATTGAAGCATAATCCGTCACCTCATTTTCAGTTTCAGAATGTGACTTTATAAACCGTTATTCATGTTCCAGCATTAGAAAGTGGAATCTTAACAGTTTCCGTAAGTATTATGGTGCTACATTTCTGCTTTTGCTCTTTCCAGTTAATGGATCCACTCTAGAGTTTTTTTTTTTTTTTTTATATTATTTATTTCTAGGAGAGAGAGAGACAGCGTGAGCAGGGGAGGGGCAGAGAGAGAGGGAGACACAGACTCTGAAATTGGCTCCAGGCTCTGAGCTGGCAGTCAGCACAGAGCCCGACGCGGGGCTCGAACCCACGAACCGCGAGATCATGACCTAAGCGAAAGTCGGACGCTTAACCGACTAAGCCACCCAGGCGCCCCTACTCTAGAGTTATTCTAAATGAGATGCTGTTTGGGGACATACTGTCTTTCCTTTTCCACTTATAATGTACTTTAGTCATCCATTATGTTCAGTTTCCTCATCACCTTTTTTGGTTTGTGGTTGTAAAGTAAGGCAAAACTAAAGATTACTAGAAAAAAATAGTTAACTCATCCTTGGTATGTATGGAGAGGAGAGTAGCTTTCAGCAAAAACTGTGAACTTGGAGAAACTGTTCTGAAAGATCTGCTTGCTGATTGATGTCTGGTAGGTTGAGTTTTATTCTAAATTCTGGTAGCATTTTCATGAGTAAGTTTTAAATCTGAAGCACTTAAAGTCCATTTAAAACATTTTTTGAGCACCTTTTATATGCAGTGCACAGAACAGCACTGAAAGGTCGTGGACTCTGGTCCGAGGTAGGGAAAGACATGTAAATAAATAAATGAAAAGCATTTAGGGGACTTAAGATTTATTAAATTTTTTCCTCCCAGGAGTAAGGATATCCAATTTCATCGCGGAAAATTAGAAAATAAGGCTTATTTGAACAGTTGCTTTTATCATCTGTTCATTAAGGGATAAAAAAGGCTCTTTGCAGTTGATGTGTTCATGAGGGGTGTTTCAGTTTTGATTGGATTATTGTAAATGTGTGTGTGTGTGTGTGTTTTGCTATTTGAAGCAATGTTTAGTTGAATCATAAAGGCATTTCTGTTACAGTAAAATGTATGTATTCTTGAAAACCTCAAATGCTGCAGAATCAAATGTTGGGAAAGTATGGTTTGGGTAGACTCAAGTATGCAGCTTAACAGAGCACTTAGAAAAACAGTAACGATCTTAAAAATTTTAGCATAAATAGCCTCTGGCATTTGTATTAAGCACCATAGCTATTTATTTATTAGCCTTAAACTAGGACTCCAGCTTCCTATTTTCAACCTTCCTCCAGGTCCTTGAGGGCAGCTGCTTCAGCAGAAACAAATTTTGTAAAAATTAATGAATTACGGCACAGTGCCTTTATTAATTGCTTTCTGAGGCTTGGTGATGGGGAGAGGTGGAGAGATGAGGAATTAGCTTTGCATCAGGTTCATTTGTACCCTTCTTACCATATAACAGTGTTATAAAGACTTGAAGTTCCTGAAGCCACTAAACTTGCTGCTGTTTTCTCTGAAGGATGGCATTTCTTTTCACCTTTTTTTCTTAAGATTTTATTTTATTAACACTTTTTAATTTGAGAAAACTTGGCCCTTTTCCCTTCAGAATGAACTAGAAAAAAATCCCTTTGAGCCAGTGACATTTCTGTGCGCTTTTGACTCACAAACCATTAGGACTCCTTTTACCAGCTGCATATGAACTACTTCATATTAGAGCATCATCTGGTAGCTAGTACCGTCTGTACTTCAGTAATGCAGATAATTATACTTTTTATTTCTCTTTAACAGAATATTTTTACATTGAAAAAATCTTGAAAGTTCTTATAATGAGTATGCCATATATTTGAACTTTCAAAAAGTTTGCAGTCTCGGTCTCTAATGCTGTGGGCCATAATACATGTGCACAACATGTGACTTGTTAATTTTCTTTTAAAAATTTCTTTTCAGAAGTTATGGTTAATATATTTGTATTATTTGTATTATCAGTGATTAAAATTATTTGTATGAATTAGTCTGATTTCTTAAAGGATTAAGTTTTTCTTTAAAACACTGAAAAGTGAATTTTGTTAGCTGTGGTTCTTCTGGTTAAAAAACATAAAAGCTGTATTTTATTTGCTCATACTTGGTAAGAATATCTCTGGAAGAATACTCAAGAAACTGGCACATTGCTTCTAAGGAGGGAATTGGATGTCTACAGGATGGGATAGGAGGGAGGCTTTGAATTTTGAACCATGTTCAAACCATGAACTATTAGAAATAAATTAAACTTTAAAAAGATAAGTGAAAGATACTTTGGCACAGAACAGAGATTGATTTAGCCTGCCTAGTAGGAATCACCTGACTCCATGATCAGCTTAGCATTGCAATCCTATAATATCTTGGTGCAGTATACAGCTGGTTATGTTATGGCAGCGGCAGGCAAACAAAAAGGTAACCAAATAAAAATATTATGTACGTTTTCTGTTATAAATAGTTAACTAATAGAATATGTAATTTTTAATTAAACTAGAAATTAAACTGATTAACTGCTGGATTTTTTCCCATATAATTTTCATAAAATCATTTTTTAAATCTTGCCACCTCTTTTGGTTTGTTTTTAGTTGATGCTGATGAAATTAAAAGGCTAGGAAAGAGATTTAAGAAGCTCGATTTGGACAATTCTGGTTCCTTGAGTGTGGAAGAATTCATGTCTCTGCCTGAGTTACAACAGAATCCTTTAGTACAGCGAGTAATAGATATATTTGACACAGATGGGAATGGAGAAGTAGACTTTAAAGGTAAGAATTACAGTAGTTCTTACGTTAAGTTCTGTATATGAAAATGTCTGCATATTTAGTTTTTTAAAAATGTGTTTATTGGTAATATATAATAGTGTTAATTCTCAAAGTCTGTGGTATATGAACTATAATGAACTAATAAGTAAGATTCTATACTGTTTGGTTCATAAATGATCAAATCATAAATGATCAAACTGTCCTTTAAGCTTAAAAAAAAAGATTTAGTATTTCCTTTGTTTTTGGAAAATTAGTCTCATTTTGGGAAATATAATATTAGAACTGCATTTTTAGAAATTTTATTTAAAGAATGAGACTTTGATACTAAGCAATAAAAATTAAACCGTAGTAATAAGGCCATGAGCATTTCACACATGATTATTTTAGTCTAGATTTTTACATAAAACAATAGTGCTTTTGCTAATTACCATGGTGCATAGTTTTACATTTGATTCTATACTTTGTCATCAGCAGACTTTGTTATTTTAGTTCTAGGAACTGAATTTTAAGTGAAGGAGGATCTAAAACAGATTTTATGATAGACTTAATGTTAAACAGCGAGTGAAGAAAAATTATTTTCACGAGGCTTCCAAAACTTCATTTAAATGAGTCTGAATTTTGGGACCAGAAATTCAAAATTATTTTTGTTCTGATAAAACAGTTGGGTGCCTGCTGGCTCAGTTAGAAGAGCATGAGACTTTGATCATGAGGTCATGAGTTCAAGTCCCACATTGGGTGGAGAAGATTACTTAAATGGAAGAAACAAAACAATGTATAATCTTTTTAAATATACTTTTTAAACATTTTGTGGTTTTTAAAAACATATTTTTATGTTTAAATGTTTATTTTTGAGAGAAAGGTGGTGAGCAGGAGAGGTGCAGAGGTGGACTCTGCAGCTGACAGCAGAGAGCCTGATGTGGGGCTCAAACTCCTGAAGCATGAAATCTTGACCTGAGATGCAGTTGGACACTTCAACCAAACTGAACCACCCAGGTGCCCCAGGATTTTGTTTTTAAGTAATCTCATGCAATGTGGGGCTCCAGCTTACAACTTTGAGACCAAGAGTTGCATGCTCTACCTACTGAGCCAGCCAGGTGCCAGTATGATCTTTTTTTAAAAGCCCCTCTTTTTTATAGTTACATTCCAAAAGAAAGAGTTAAATAGCTTAAAGAATGTGGTTTTTAGTGGTAAGCTCTATTACTTAATATTGCTCAAACTGATTTGACCTTAGAGAACTGAAAATTTAGATTTTTAAAAAAATACATAGAACCTTGTTGAAGTTTCAAATTTGACACTTTCAGTTTAAAACACTGCTTAGTAATATTTTCTTTTGCAGCAAAAAAAAAAAATCCTTTTATGAATATATTCAGTTTGTATGTGTGTGTGCTATGTATTTTTCTATATATTAAAATTGAAACTTCTGATTTGTAAACACTTTCTATTCTTATTCAGAATTTATTGAGGGAGTCTCTCAGTTCAGTGTCAAAGGAGATAAGGAACAGAAGTTGAGGTGTAAGTATTTTTCTTCACTGAATTCATTCTTCCTCTTACACCACTGCTATCCCATACTACATTATAAACTTTTTAAAAAATATTCTAAAAGATGACTTTTTCTAGATCCTTAGTATATGTAACAGAAATTGTATGTTCTGGAGAAAATCCTTTTAGGATATTTGCAACTAGCATTTTGTATAGTGTCATTGTTGCTTTTTAGTTGTATAGAAAGAACAGAATATCCTTTTCCTGAGGTAGAAGCTATATAAACTGTAGGTCTTGGATAAGAGATTTTTTGATGAAACTGGGAAGAAATGTTTTAATGTCATTAGGTGAACTTAGTTTATATACATATTTAGCCAGAAGTCCACTCTTTTGGTTTCTGTAGGCAGCCTCTATTACAGTGAACATCTGTACCTTTCTACGTTATTCTGCTCTTTATTAGAGAGACATTTTATTCAATAGTTGTCTGAGGCACAGGATATATACAGACATCTTTGTAAATGAACTCAGTATAAATGAGAATAATAATAGCAGTTGAGCTTTTGCTGTGTTTTAGTCACTGTTCTAAGCAATTTTTTACATGTATTTGTGCCATCATACTCTATAAAGAACCTGGGAAGTTGAAACTCTTAATTAGTCTCAATTTTATGTACAGAAACTGAAGCTTAGCAAGGTTATAACTTTCCTTTAGGTATGCTAATTGGCCTGAGCGCTCTTGACTCCAGAACCCATACTCGTAATAGCTGTGTAATTGCACCTAAAGGCAAGATCAAATAGGAGGAGCCATCATCATAGTTATAATTTTAGACTAGATGTTTGACAACTGTTTTCTTCCTCATTGAAAGTATTTACTTGTGATTGCCTTATCATTGCCATTGATTTTCCTTACTCTTTTTTTAGTTGCTTTCCGTATCTATGACATGGATAAAGATGGCTATATTTCCAATGGGGAACTCTTCCAGGTGCTGAAGATGATGGTGGGGAACAATCTGAAAGATACACAGTTACAGCAAATTGTAGACAAAACCATAATAAATGCAGATAAGGATGGAGACGGAAGAATATCCTTTGAAGAATTCTGTGCTGTGAGTACAAAAGAGCTGGTTCTTCAAAAGTTAGGTTTTAAAAGCATCTACAAAACTACTTAATAGAGTTCCTTATACTTATTTGCCCTAGAAATTCATATACAGTATTTGATTTTCCTAGTTGCCCATATTTAAAGTTTTGAAATAGTCCTTGTGGTAATTGTTAGTAACTAACCATTATTATTCTCAAGAATTCCTGGGCTCAGTGATTATCTGGTAATACACCACAAGAATGGTATTAGTAACTTTTACTTATTGTTGGTAGTCCCCTAGATTACAACCAGGGTGTATTCTTAAGGTTAATTCAAAAATAAATGTTTGAAAACACTTGTGGAGGGTAGGTGTTCATGAAGTTTCCGCTAGGAATCCAGAAGTTTGGCTTTATGAGGACAACAGAAAGGGAGTGCCTGTGCATGGTATTAGACTCCTCAGGTAGGCAGTGTAAATGGGGATTCCTCCCTGCCCCCTCTCCCAAGCTACTGATGGTTAGTTCTTGTGTTCTGGGGCAGGGGCTGAGCAGAGGCATAACTGTAGTTATGGGGAGCCCTAAGAAAACTAATTTTAAGCGGAAACTGGGGCAACAGCTTAGCTTCCAGTTGACAGCCTTTCTTCAGTAGATCCAGAGATTTGCCACTACTCAGTGCTTCCAGACAGGAAGACAACCACTCAGCTTCTTTCTCTACTTTCCCCCTAAAGCAAAGATAGTAGCCTTTTGATATATTGTAAGGAGTTTTAATTGCAAGCTAGAAAGACCCAGAGAATCCAGAGGGGAGGCAAAGATAAAAAAGTTTTAAAGATTTTCAGTTATGATTGGATGCTACTATGGGAAGATTTCCTTCCTCCCTTTTCATTTTTTATTTAGATCACACAAGGAAAAACTAACACTGGTGGTTGTGTGTCATGTCATGTATGGGCTAAAGTTGTTACTGTGGCATTTAAGTAGTTCACATTATCTTTAAAATATTTTCCTTCAACTCAAGGGAATATTTTATACATGTTGTCTCAAAGAGTAGGGTGATGCTCTAATTTAAACAGGCGGTCTTTTTGGAAGAAATTTAGGCTTAAGATTTGAGACTTTGTTGCCTGGTGGTACTGCTGCAAGGGTTTGTGACTCCTCGGTTTCTTCTTTACCAAAGATCATGGAAAGACTTCTGTGGAGTGTTGTCAGATTGTGACATGAGACCAGGCTGGTAATGGCAGCATAGCCAGTTTTCAAAAGAAAGAAAGAAAAGAACAAATTCAGGGGTGCCTGGGTGGTTCAGTCAGTTGAGCGAGCATCTGACTCTTGACTTCAGCTCAGGTCATGGTCTCACAGTTCATGAGATGGAGTCCCGCGTTGGGCTCTGCATGGCTCTGTTAGTGCAGAGCCTGCTTGGGATTCTTTCTCCCTCTTTCTCTGCTCCTCCCCTGCTCATACCTGCACTCTCTCAAAATAAAACAAACAACAAAAATCCTTAGAGGGAACAAAACAAAAATGGAAAACTCTTGCTTACAGTGAGGTAAGATGTTATATAGATGAAGATTCCATTTATATTTAGTAAATGTAAAATATAAGTTAAAATTACATGTAAATCATTTGTCAGTGGAAGGAAATGAAAATACATATGATGCTTTTTAGTTGAATACACAAGCTGTGCTTTGAGTTTATTTCCAGTATTAGATAAATTGCTTTTGTCTTTTTGAGGAGTGTAGTTTGGGGATGTAGAAAAATTTTGTGTTTTAAACTCAGCTTCTCTGAACATTGATCAAGTCCATAACTCTGGCTTCATAAAGTCCTTTTTATTCTGATTTCTCAAGCTATAGCAGTAAAATGAGATGGGAGGTTACTTTAAAAGATCACATGCTTATCCACCTCCTTTAAAAATTTCAGAATACATAAACATACAAAGATAAAAATGATTAATGACAGAGTTAAAGTTGTCAGGTTGTGAATGCTTATATAGTTGACCCTTGAAAAACATGGGTTTGAATGGCACATGTCCACTTCTGTGCGTTTTTTTCTCAATGAAATATTGCATGTTTTTTGTTATAGTTTTAATTTTTTCCCCAACTTTTGTAATACATATACAAACTAGTGTTAATTGACTATTATTTGTGAGGCTTCTGGTTAGCAGTGGGCTATTAGTAGTTAAATTTTGGGAGAGCCAAAAGTTATATGTGCATTATTGAGACAGAAACAGAGCACTAGTGGGGGAGGGGCAGAGAGGGAGGGAGACACAGAATCTGAAGCAGGCTCCAGGCTCTGAGCTGTCAACACAGAGCCCCATGCAGGGCTTGAACCCATGAACCATGAGATCATGACCTGAGCTGAAGTCGGATGCTTAACTGACTGAGCCATCCAGGTGTCCCAATATATGTAGATTTTTCACTGCATAGTGGGGTTGGTATCCCCAATCCCTGTTGTTGTCAAGGGTCATATTATCTATTTTTGCTTCCTTTCCAAACTCCAGTGAAAATAAGTGGATTAAAACGTAAAGGTTATGAACCCACAGGACAGAGAGAATAGTAGGGAGGATAGCACCTAGATTTGACAACTTAAAACTCTATAAACTGACTTAAGCAGGAGAAAATATGAGTTCTGAGCTATCAGCTTGTAAAGCTGAGAGGCAACTTGGTGTATAATGCAGAATTCCTGAAAGGCTCAGAAATTAGTAGCATAAGTGAAAGTGGGGATAAAGGCAAGACTAAAAACAATTGCTTAAAGTCTGTTTAAAAAGCATTCAGAACACTAGATCTCCCTTCCTACTCTACTCAGACTCTCCTGCACCCTAGTGGGAGATTGGAGGGTGAGGTAGAATCTTGAGTCTGGGAAACATGAGGCATCATAGATTGTGCAGTGGGGTTGGGAGGGTGGTGGTGGTGATTAAGTGAAGATAAGCATATTTGCATTTTGATGCCTCTAAAATGAAAAAAAAGTCCTTATTTCCAGGGATAAAATATACTGAATCCTTAAAAATTGGATAATAAGAGTTCTTGGAAATTTAAATTCAGAGATCCATTCTAGGAAGTCTAACACCTGAATGCTAGGGTTTTCAGAGAGAAAATGGAGGGATGGAAGTCCTCAAAAATCAATCAAAAAATAATGAACCAAAAATGACTTCCTGACTGAAAGGATTATTGAGTACTCAGCATAGTATATAAAAATACTCTGGACCTAGGCGCAATGTCATGAAATTTTAAAACGGGAAACTGAGGGGCGCCTGGGTAGCTTAGTCGGTTGAGCGTCTGACTTTCGCTTAGGTCATGATCTCGTGGTTCGTGGGTTCGAGCCCCGCATCGGGCTCTGTGCTGACTGCCAGCTCAGAGCCTGGAGCCTGTTTCAGTCTNTTAGAACCCTCTTAGTTTTTTTCTTCCTCATCAAGGGAAGTCAATGACCTAATTCAACTCTGAACAAATGATTGTGTATACATATATATGTGTCATAAGGTATAAAGTTATGTTTAAAATGGTTTTTTAAAAAGTGTTAACCGGGGCGCCTGGGTGGCTTAGTCGGTTGAGCGTCCGACTTTCGCTTAGGTCATGATCTCACGGTTCGTGGGTTCGAGCCCCATGTCGGGCTCTTTGCTGACTGCCAGCTCAGAGCCTGGAGCCTGTTTCAGTCTGTGACTCCCTCTCTCTCTGACCCTCCCCTGCTCACGCTGTCTCTCTCCTAGAAATAAATAAAACATTAAAAAAATTAAAAAACAAAACAAAAAACGGGAAACAGGATTCTACAAACTTCTTCAGAGCTGGGGTAGAGGGGTAGGGGGAACAGGCTTTATACAAAGACTCAAAAATCATAATGGCAACAAACTTCTCAGTAGCAAAGTATTCATAAGGTAGAAGACAATAGAACATTGCCTTTGCAATTTTGAGGGACAGTTATTTCCAAACTAGAATTCTCTACAAACTCAGACTCCATGAAAGAATGAAGATATTTTCGGTATGCAAGGCTTCCCTTTTTTTGGAAACTCTTGGACGATGTGCTCCTACTGTAACAAGGTTGTAAATCAAAAAAGATAATGTGGAGTCCAAGAGGCAGATGGCCCAACATGAGAGAAGGAAATGCCCGGGATGATGGTGAAGAAAGATCCAGAGAGGCCTACATTGAAGCAGGTTGGAAAGCTCTGGCAGTGAGTGATTCAAAGATAAGAAAATTGATAGAATTACATAATATAGTTAGAACCAAATTTTGGGATTGAGTTCGTGCAATACATAGAATACCCAGCAAAAGAAAAGATCAGATAATCATGAAATGTAGCAAAATAAATGTGCAGTATGCAATTCTTTTTTGCGGTAGTTTATGTAATCATAATTAAAATGCTGAATTTCTGCTAATCATGAAGATGTAACTGTTGGAATTATATGGGTAAGAGATAGATGGGAAGGGTTTGGGTGTAAGAGCTAAGTGTTTCTCTCGTCTGGTGGGAAGTCAGTGGATAGATGCCTACAACTCTAAATCCCAAGAGAAGGCAACTCAGGATTGTTATTTGGAGGCCTTCAGGGAAATACTGAATGTTAGCTGAAAATTCTAAATGATTACCTCTGTGTAAAAGAAAATAGAGAATGAAGGCAGGGGTAGCAAACTGCTGTTTTTATAGCAGAAGTTGTAGAACTAATTGGCTATTTAAGCTTTGTTTTTGATATAAAATTTTTAAGTTTAAATTTAAAAATAATACAGATGCAGCTATACACAACAACATGGATTAATGTCAAAAACCTGTTGGGTGAAAAAACCAGACACAAAAGAAATTTCATTTAAAATTGTACAAAAGCTGAAACCGAACTAATGCATGTTGCTAGTCACAGTAGTGGCTACCTGTATGTGTGTTAGGGCAGGAGAGAGATGGCTGGTGCTGGAAAGGGCCCGCAGAAGACTCCAGGAAATGGTCTGGGTGCTAGTTACTTTGGTGTTTACTCTGGGAAGATTTATCAGGCTGTGAACAGGTGATTATACCTTTAGATTTCCATGTTGTTATTCACTGAGACTTCTGTAACAATTCTACGTGTATTGAAGCCCATGAGAAAATAATGTGCGGAAGATTTTATTTGGTATTTTCTTAATACCTTCTAGAATGGACTGATAAGCCCCTAGAAAATTATTGAAGATAATTTTTATCCTTACAGTTGGTTATTATTTAACATTAAACTGCCTTAGTAGGGGTTAGCAAACCAGAATGGGTCAGATCCTTCCCATGGCCTGTTTTCTAGGTCTTTGAGCTTAAACATTTTTTTACATTTGTAAAGTGTTAAAGTGGGAGAAGAAAATGCAAGAGAAATTGTATGTGGCCTACAAAGCCTAAAATACTTCCTGTCTGGCCCTTTAAGTTTGCCAACCGTTGTCCCAGAACACAAGAAAATGAGTGATACCTGAGAGAAAGCAGTTCTTACCTAGAGGCAATACAGGTTAAAGACAACAAAACCCCAAACCTCAAAAGCCAGCTTCTGAAAATGGTTATAGTAGTATGTTTTTTAAATTGTAGGGTTTTTTAAAATGCTTATTTGGAGGGGGAGGGGCAGAGAGAGAGAAGGAGGGAGACACAACCTGAAGCAGGCTTTAGGCTCTGAGCTGTCAGCACAGGACTGGCATGGGGCTTGAACCCATGAACTGTGAGAGCTGAATTAGGACACTTGACCGACTTGAGCCATCCAGGCACCCCTTAAATTGTAGTTTGGTTAAGGTGGTTAGACCAGTAAAACAGAATTTTCCACCATGGTAAAGTTTGATTTGTTCCTGTCTGTTGCAGGTTGTAGGTGGCCTAGATATCCACAAAAAGATGGTGGTAGATGTGTGACTCTTTTTTCTAAAGAGTACCACCCAACACTTTTGCTTTCTTCTCCATCTCTGAAGATCTGCTCAAGACGTCCAGCAATGCTCTCTGTGTATTTAAATGGAAGTATTTTTCTCTGTGAAGCCACATTTTCCAACACGAGCCTCATGAAGCCAACTAAGTGTTATTGAACTCTTATTCTCTCAATAACTCAGTGTAGCACTTTAAAGTCTGAAGGACAGCAACATGAAAAGAGCATATCAATGTGGTGAAGAAAGGGAAGGGGTTGGCTTTTTAATTTATTTTTCTTCATCTTTTATAACAAGAAAGTATCTATATATACATATGTAAATATTTATATATAGATATATGTAGCTTTCTATATGTGTAGTAGGTTGGCTTTAATTTAATATACTTGATTCAGAAACAAAATGATAGAGTACAAAAGTGCCAAGCAGAACATAAAACATCCTTACTTTTATTTCACACAGTTTTATATATAGATAGAAAATTGTACAATTTGAGCCGGGTGTTAGGCCAGCTATTTTCCTTTCCCTGTGCTTTCTCCTTTGAGAGATTGACAAAGCATTTGTTAACGTCCTATTATTTACCTTAATTACAGTTTTGTAACAAAGGGGTTTGTAATTTTATTTATACCTATCAATAGATTTTCAGGGACTAGGTCTCATTGCTGAGCAGCTCTTACTACATCTCTGCTTGAGGAGAAAGTACAGTGCAGTGCTGCTGCCAAGAGCTCTTGCTTGGGTTCTCGTGGGAACCGCACCAAGCTCATGGCTGCTTCAGGATTATTATTTAACTAGGAGCCATTTTCATTTATTAAATGTCCCTGAGTTAAATGTAAGTTACCAGTTGTGGAAAGGCCAGAAGCTATCTGAGGCAATCATGATTTATCTCAGACATTACTTAATGAATACCTGAAATAACTATGGAACTTAAGGGTATCCATTCATTTGTAAACAAACAGTGTGTCATTAAACTTCTGTTTGAACCATAAATTTCCCTTGTTTCAGAAGACTTGCAGCTAATCTAAAAAACTGGTGACATTTAATGTGCATGTATGTATCTAGATACCCACATATATTTGTGATTTAAATGGAAGAAGTCTTACCAATCTATATGCCACAGAAAAGCAAAATTTTATCCAAATTTATACCTCTCCTATTTCTTTACCACAAGGCATAGAGAGTGCATGTTTTTCTTTCTTGATTTGCCCATATTTGTAATGGATGATAACTGAATAAACGTGTGATATAAAAGTAGTGTATCATGTTCCACCACTTGATATTATCCCTTCCCTTTTCTGCAAAGGTACTATTGGCTAGAAGAAAACATTTTGGTTAGCTTTCTAGGAAAGTAGTCTTCCCCTATATTGTTTTTCTAGAAAACTGGTTTCATAATCATGAGTGGAAAAGGGCAGGTTGAATCAAAGTGAATGAATCTTAAATTGGGCACGCCTGCCTGCCATCGCTGTTCCTTCAACTGAGTGCTGCACATCATGGGCTCTGTCTGTGAGAGAAAAATCCCGGTGCTTGGTGTCCTTGCATGACATGGAGTTTTGCATGTAGATCAATTTAAAATGTACCTCTTGTTTACATAATTTGCATAATTTTAAAAGATAATGTTGCCAAACTTTGGAAATGTTAATGTTCAAACTGAGAATCTCCACTACATGTAACTTTCTTCCTCTGGATCAGTACGTGGCTTATAATCCCAGCCAGTGGTTTGATCTGTTCCAGTGTCAACTGCCATGTGCTCTGCTTCAAGGGGGAACTAGTCTTTTGTGAATTTTTTGTACATAAGTATTTGTTACAAATATTTTAGCAAATGCTTTCTATTTCTCTTGCTTGTGCATATCTTGGCTGGCGTTACAGGAAAAATAGTGCAAACGTTATTTCCTTACTGGGAATGAGGGTTTTTTTTTTTTCTTTTTTTTAGTGTGGGTGGGGGTGGGGTTTATGTTGAATGTTTAGTTTTTTTCTTCTGCATGAAACATCATGTTGTGGGATCTTTAGAAAACTTCATACTGTATGAATAAGAAAATAAAATATTTGAAACTTGCTTGAGTATATTCAGTCTTTTGTGGGCCTCCACAGCCATTAGGTAGTGTTTTGTCCTTTAGGTAGTCTTTTTTTCATTCTTTTGACTTTAAAAAAAAACTGATAAATTGATGTTTGGTATCTGACTACTCTGCTTTATCACTGGTTAAAAATGTAAGTCATTACAATAACCTACAAAGCCTTACCTCATTATGCCATTACCACTTACCCTTCCTTTGCTTCGAGTTGCCTTCGCCTCCTGTGTTTCCTGGATCTCTGGGCTTGCTTCTGCTGTGGGCCACTGTTCAGTCTCCCCCACCAGGTATAGCACAGCTAATGCCTCCGTCTGTTCAAATATGTCCTCGCTGCCCAAGGACACAACTGGCCATCCCTTGTAAACGTAATACACCTGCGTCCCTTTTACCCCCCCCCCCCCCCCCAACTGCATTTACCTTCTGCTGACAGAACTTACTTGGATATTTTGTACACTTCTCTTCCCGGGTTACTGGAATAAAACAAAAACTCCACGAGGGCATTTTTCTATTTCTGTCCCTTGTTCACGGACAACCTCACTTGTCTAGAATTATACCTCTTAGTGTTTGCTCATTAAATACTTACTAAAGGATTATTTAAACAGGCAGACACTAGGGTGCCTGGGTGGCTCAGTTGGTTAAGCATCTGACTTTGGCTCAGGTTATGATCTCACGGTTCGTGGGTTCGAGCCCCGTGTCAGGCTCTGTGCCTGACAGCTAGCTCAGAGCCTGCAGCCTGTTTCGGATTCTGTGTCTCCCTCTCTCTGACCCTCCCCTGCTCACCCTCTCTCTTTCTCTCTCTGAAATAAATAAAACATTTTTAAAGTAATCTTTTCATTTACAGAACATCATGGTAAAAACATTCTTTTTACCATATTTCACCTTTACTACTTAGAAGAAATATGCCCAAACACTGGTGAGGTCTGGCTACTTTCATTAAGTGTTTATTTGAAAAATAAAGTACTTTCCTCACCATCAACCATCAGCCTTGTGATGTTTTTAACCTTATAAACTACAAAATAGGTACAAAGATTAGCTAGCTTGCCTTTGTTCACAACAGTATCTCTGAACTGCTACTTCTATGACCCAATTCTAAAAACCCCACATACCACCCAGTATTAAGGGTCATGATTCAGAGCAGTTTTGTGAGATGATTTTTTTAATTACACTCCATAGACAAGAAATGTTTATAAATTTATAAAAAATTATAAATTTATAAATAAGGTGATAAATTCATATAGGACTGTTTAAACCAGAAGTTCCCCTCCTATAAGAATCATAAACTATGCAAATCTTTTACTTAAAATGAAGTGATAAATTATAGTTAATGTGTTAAGTATAGTGTGCCAAATTCAGTTATGGAGTTATCCTCAAAGTTGCTATGTGTGAGTATTACCAAACCTTTCTGTTTATGCTCCCGGCTGAGAACAGAAGTGATGAATGCTTAAAGTGACTGGAATACTCTTCAAATGGTTTCTTGTGACCACATGTGGAGGGGAAGGCTTTTTCTCTAGAGTCCAAAGACAAGATAAAAAGTCTCTTGATTTGAAATCAGAACCGATCTGCTGCTCTGCTAGCCACGGCTCGGATATTGCCATAAACCTTTGATGGAGGATTTCCTGCAGAGGAAAATAAACGTATGTATACAAATACACTCACACATAGGAGCTACATGGAAAGGTGTCTACAAAAGAACATTTTCCAGTGGATCTCTCTTAAATCAAAAAGAACCATAAACCCACATATTCTCCAAAAACATTTTAAATCCTGAGTCAAAGGCACCAAGTTGCTGATTTCTAAAAGCTGGTCAATCAGATCTGGGCACTGATGGAAAAATCCCATCTAGAGCAAGTTACTAGAATCCTGTTAACTCTTAACAGAAGTTACTGACTTTGCTGGCACAGTTTGAAAACAAGATTACGTGCATCAATTAAGTTGACTGATGGGTGATCAACAGCTCCCTTTTTGTTGAAACCTAGAATGGCTTTTCACTGAACCTCAGGGGAAAGCAGCAAAGATCTGAGCAATATAATCCAACACACCTTTTCTCTAGCAAACAGATGGAATCCATTTTTCTTTAGGCCTGCAATTGCCAACCCCCATTTCTACTTGTTATCTTTAACATTACCCTTAACCTACACTGATCTGCAAATGTGGTTTGAGTTCTAAATTTCCTACTCTTTTCTTTCCAGAGAAAACACCTAAGGAATAGTGTTAGGATAGCTGTTAGGATAGTGTTAAATAGATGTTACCGAGGATGAGGTTGCAAATGGCAGTTCTTGCCATCTTGATGTTTTGGAAAGAGCCAAGGATGTGAACTTTCCTGCAAGAGAGAATGTGAGACAAGTTAGCAACAACAACAACAACAAAAAAACATTTTCTTAATGAAGTCCCCTAATCCAGGAACTTTGGAAAATCATGACAGATACAGATCCCTAAATAAAGGAAGTGGTGATAGTTGCACAACTCTAAATGCACTAAAAACCACGCTGAAGGGGAATATTATGGTACATAAGTTATATACCAATAAAAGGAAAAAAAATTTAAGAAACCAAGAATTTTTAAAGATTCTTAGTTAATGATGGTTACCATCAATACTGAGTGCCTTCTATATGTTGTGCACCTTTGTGTGTTTCCATTTAATCCTTACATGAGCTTTATTAGGTAGATGTTACTCCCATTTTACAAATGAAGGAAATTTACAAGAAATTAAAGCACCTGTCCAAGATTATACATTGGCAGAGGTGGAATTATTAAGTGCCCACAAATGCAAGTAACACTGTACTTCATCAAAATATTTGGACTTCAACTGCAAAGCTTTCTAAAGGTTATCTAAATTTCTTTACTCACTGAGAGTCATCTAGACCCTTCTAATGGGTATTCCTGCCTGGCTGACTCAAACAAGATGGACAGCATAGTTTTTGTCCTTTTGAGCCCATATTCCAAAAAGTATCAGTAAACTGACACCAAAATTGGCCATGGGAACACCAAAAGGAACCCTCTTGCCCAGACAGACTCTGGCATTTCTGAAATTGGGGGGTAAAAATGAAAGTCTGTTCGTGATGATCCCCAAATTTTCTTCCCTACTCTGTGCAATCAGGCATCCACCCTTGTAACGGGCAAAATTACAGGGTGGGGATGGGGGGTTGCTCCCTGGAAAAGGTAAAAGATAAAGTGTCTGCACAGGGAGTACCAGGTATAGTTGAAGTAGGAGTAACATGTTAAAAACAGGGGCATGTCAAAGCAAGTATCTGCACACTGTTAAGACTACCACCTATCTCCATAACCGGGCTTCAAAGTCTGGTGGCAAAGAGCCTGGAGAAGACTTCTCTGTGGAAAACTGCCCTGCCCAATAAAAAAGACTAAAAGACATTAGGGCTTCCCCAAAGAAAGAGGCTGGCAGTAACCCTCACTGAAGCCTACAGTCAACCAACACTACCCCCTGGGCTCAGGGCTACCAGTCTGCTCTTCACTGCCTCACTTACACATACGGCAAACACACTGAGGATTACCAGAATCCGAGGAGAGCATCTAATACAAAAAAAAAAAAAAAGCTACAACTAGCAAGGTGAAGAAAGCATTACAGAAACAGGCTGTGGGGAGAAATAAATGAAAACCGCAAAAACAAAACCAAATCAATAAGATCAGAAATGCCAGTTTCACGTAGCCATGAATCAACAGCACGATGTTAAGAAAACTAAATACAAGGATTAGAAGATGGGAGTTACAGAAAGGAATTCCAGATAGGGTGGAGGAAAGAAAAGGACAACCAAAGCAATTTAAGAAAATTCCTAAGACTTGTAGAAAGTGAGTTTCTAATTTGAAAGGGCCTAGTAAGATGAGTAAAAATAGACCCACACTAACATAGATCACGATGAAATTTCAGAACATAATGGATGAAGGTACAACTTCCAGACAGGAAGCTAAAATAATCAGGTATCAAAGTGGCTATGGGCTTCTCAATAGCA